CAGAGAGTTCATGAACAAAAACCAAACTGCTCATGAAACACTTCAAAGAATCAACAACTGGGATCTCATCCTAGAAATCTAAATTCTTAAGCCTCATCCCAGAACTACTGAATCAGAAATTGTGGTGTGTGAGGCTCAGCAATTTGATTTGTACCAAATAGTCCAGGTAATTCCAATAGATGCTTGAATTTGAGAGCATTGCCAAAGTTGGTAAGAAGCTAGGTGTGGTGCTGCATTACTAGACACCCAGCACTCTGGCAGGCTGAGGTAGGAGGATCATAAGTTCAAGCCAACCTGGGTAACTTGGGAACTTGGTGAGCTCTGTCTCAGAATAAAGAAATAAAAAGGGGATGTAGATGTAGCATAGTGTGAAGGCCTTAGATTCAATCTCCACTACAGCAGAGGAACCAGGGGCAGTTGATGAGGGTTTGAATTACTATAGTTTTTAGATTCCTAGATTCTCCGTATCAGCTAGGAACACTTTTCCCACATTCTGACCAATTTATTTCCCAAGAACATCTTAAATGGATGTGCTCAAAATATGTTGTTTTGTGTATGAAAATGCTACAGTGAAACCCATTACTTTGTGTAATTAATGTGCACTAATAAATAATAGAAAAATTTAGAAGACAAAATGGATCAAAATAATGAAAAAAAACTTTTTCAGAGAGTTAAGAGTGGTTCAACTAATCTAAACCAGCGAGGCATTCTTACTGTAACATCTGGACAAATGTTAGACTAACTTATTTTCCGATTTTTTGAAGGTCCAACGTAGGGATTGAAATGATGAAGAACTTTACCTCCATCAAAGTTTTACCATGTAACAGTAAGTCTAATGTGCCTTTGCCTGTGTACTTATAATTTATTCCTTTACAGACATTTTTACTCTACATTGGCCACTTTGATCTCTGATCTCTTATTTCCTATCACTCACCTTAGGTTTTAAAGAAGGGATTTTATTCTTGAAAATTATTTTCATTGAAAAAATATGAACATAACAATGAAATCGAGTTTCAAGACAAGTTATTAGGACAGTTACAATAGTTAATACATTGGGTATTGTGGCCTTCCTCGTAGTTATTCAGAGTAGAAGATATATGTATGCTATCTTGTCTATACAATATTTGCACAGGACTTTCTTTTCAATGAACTAAGAGAAATTAGCTGTATAACAATCTTAACTATCTTGTATATGCATATATTTTTACTTTCTTCATGTCCCCTTTCCCTCTCACAGGTTGCCTTTTCTTTTGAACAGTTTCTTTCCAATTTGCACCATCTATTACGCATTTCAGATCTTATTTACTTGTCATTTTTTTCACACTAGTGAGACAATATGATGTTTACACACATGGGTCTAATTTATTTCACTATTTTTTAAAAGGAAAGAAAAATGGGATGGGGGAAAGGAGAAAATGAAGGGAAATATATATACAGTATACATACATATATATAGATATACAGGTAGATAAATATAGATGTATACAAGATATGTAAGATAATTGTACCACTAAATTCCAGTGATTTATTGAAAGGAACAGTCAATGTTTAATTGTTTGATCAATCTTGCATTCTTACATCTGGTAATCTGAGCAACTTCGTTGAAGATAACAATATGTAATATAACAACCATTGTTAATTTCCTATCATCTTATTTTGAAATCCTGTATTGTTTTTATTGTTTTTTGTTGTTTTTGCCTTTGTTCTTATTACTTTGTTTTTTCCTTTCTGTCTAAAATAAAAAAGGAAAATTATTTTTATATCACTTTAAGCCAATTTTCATTCTGAGTCAGATATAGAAGTCCAAGAAAACCATTAATTTCAGCTCATTTCTTTCAACATGTATAGCTTATTTGTATTTCCACTTATTCCCCCAAAGCCAATAATTGGGTGCTGATGCTATATAAAAATGAACTGCACAGAGTCAGGGTTCAGAAATTTCTCTAGTGGATTCTAATATCTCTTTCAGGCAAATCACCTCACTTAAAGTTTTATGAACTAGCAACTTCTGTGGATTCTTTTTCAGTTTTGTCACATGAATTGTAATGGTAACAAAAAATCACCCTGCTCATAAAATGATGTTTCTGATACACTGGAATTAAAGTTAATTTCATGTAAGAAAATGATATCTATTATAACACTCTTTAAGAAACATTTTTTATTAGTACATGTTTGTAATACAAGGGCTGGGGATATAGCTCAGTGGCACAAGCTCTTGCCTGGCAAGTGCAAGGTCCTAAGTTCGAGTCCCAGTACCAATAAATAAACAAATAAGTAAATGTCTGTAATACATAAAGACTGCATTTCTTATGTGGTGTTGGTACATGTACCTAACACATCCTAATTTTTAATATTCCCTTCCTGTCCCTCACTCTCCCTTCCCTCTATTTCTTGGTCCCCTTCCCATATTCAAAAGATCAATCTCATTATTTCTCTTTATCTACCTTATTTTGCTCTTTATTTATATTTTGGGTTTCTCATATAAGGATTTGGCTCCTTTATCAAAGGTCAGGTGGCTGACTGTGTTTGGAGTTGTTTTTGCATCCTCTATTCTATTCCGTTGATCCAGATGTCTGTATTATTTTTCTTGCTAATACCATGCTATTTTTATCACTGTCACTTTGTAGTACTCTATAATTTGAAGTCAGATATTGAAATGCTTCCTGCTTTGCTCTTGTTGCTCAGGATTGCTTTTATTACTCTCTGCCTCCCAAAATGAAACCTAACCTTAAAATAATCACTCTTACTTCCTTAAGACAAGGTCTTACCATGTAGTTTAGCCTGGCACTGAATTCATCATGTAGCTCAGGCTGGCCTCAGACTCATGGTAATGCTCCTGCCTCAGCCTCCCAAGTGCTGGAATTACAGCTGTGTGCCATCATGCTCAACTTGCCCTATTTTTTTCTTCTTGAGTGCTACTGATGTACAGGAATGCTACCGATTTACGAGTGTTGACTGTTTCTTGCTATACTACTGAATTTGGTTGTTAATTCTAGGAGTATTTTGATAGAATTTGGGTGGTGTTCTATGTAGAGGATCACATCATCTGAAAATGAAGATAATTTGAATTCCTCTATTCTTTCACATAACCCCTCCTTTTTTTTTTTCTTGCCTCATTGCTTTGGCTAATGTTTGAGGACTATAATGAGCAGTAGTGGTCATAGCAGAGATACTGGACTTATTCTTGATTTTACAGGGAAAGATTTAAGCTTCTCCCCACTTAGTATGATGTTGACCATTGTTATAAATGGATTTTATTGGATTGAGGTAAGGTCTTTTACACTTATTTCTTTAGTGTTTGTTTATTTGTTTGTTTGTTTGCTTGAGAGAGGCTCTTGCTTTGTAGTGAAGGTTGGTCTTGAACTCACTATGTAGCTCAGGCTGACATCAAATTCACAGTGATCCTCCTGCCTCACCTCCTGAGCACTGGGATTGCAGGTGTGCACCAGCATACCTGACTTCTTTAGTGGTTTTATCATGAATAGATATTGGATTTTGTCCAAGGTTTTCTCTGAGTCAAAAGATGATAAGGAGATGATCATGTGATTTTTGTCCTTGTTTCTGTTTATGTGATGTATTACATTTATTGATTTGCATATGTTGAACCATCCCTGCATCCGTGGGATAAATCCTACCTGGTCACAATGTGTAATATTTTTGATTATTTAATGGACCCTGTTTGTCAAGATCTTGCAGGGGATATTTGTGTCAATGTTTATTGAAAAGATTGTCCTGTAGCGCTGGTTTTTTTTGGGTCCTTTTCTGGTTTTGAAATCAGAGTAATGGCTTTGGGAGTACTTCTTCCCTTCTGCTTTTATTAAGGAGTTTGAGAGGTATTGGCATTAGGTCTTTCCTGAAGACTTTGTAGAATTCAAGAGTGAATCCATTGGAACCTGGGCTTTTCTTTATTGGTACTTTTATTTCTTTTTCAGTTTCATTACACAAGATTAGAATGTTCAGGATTTTTATGTCTTCTTGGTTCAGCTTTTGTGGGTCATATGTATCTAGGAATCTATCTATTTCTTCTAAATTTTCCATTTTATTAAAGTATAGGTTGTTTGAGTAGTCACTAACAATCTTTGGATTTCATTTTTTACTTTTTACTTTTATTTTAAAGGGAAGGAACAAAAACAAAGACATAAACAAAACAACATAAAAACAATAAAAATGATGCAAAATTTCAAAGCAGGTGATAGGAAATTAACAATGGTTATTGTTTTACATATTGTCATTTCAAAGTGGTTACTCAGACAACCAGATATAGGCATGTAAGACTGATCAAACAAACATTAATTGTTCCTTTCAATAAACCAGTGGAAATTAGTAATATAATTATATTAGCTATCTTGTGGATTTCACTCTTTAAATTTAAAATTGCATTTGCTTGGATCTTTTCTTTCCTCTTTTTGGTATGATTGGCTAAGGTTTTGTCTATTTTGTTTATTCTTTCAAAGATCAGTTCTTTAATCAGTTCATTGATTATACTGTATTTATTCACAATTTCATTAATTTCTATTCCAATCTTTATAACTTCCTTCTTTTTATTAGCCTTGGATTTGGATTGTTCTTTTTTTAGGACCTTGAAGTGCATCATTAGGTTATTTACTTGTCTCGCTCTATTTTTCTGATGTGGGCACTCACAGCTATAAATTTCCCTCTCAGGCCTGCTTTCATTGTGCCCCATGTGTCCTGGTATGTTGCAGTGAAATTATTGTGATTCTAGGAACTAGTTTCTTCTTTGATTTCTTCACTGACCCATTCATTATTCAAAAAGGCATTGTTCAGTTTCCATGGTTGCATATGTTCTATGGTTTCTTTTGCCATTGATTTCTAATTTCATTGCAGTAATATGCATGGGATAATTTTTATTCTTTTGCATTTATTTAAGCATGCTTCATGGGCTAGCATGGGGTCTATTAAAGTTCCATGGGCTGCTGAGAGGAATGTGTGTCCTGTTGTTGGGTGGGATGCTGTAGATATCTATTAAGTCCATTTGTTTGAAAGTTTAGCTCAAGTCTTATTATTTCTTTTTTTTTTTGGTTTGTTTTTGTTTTTCTTCCGGTACCAGGAATTGAACTCATGACCTTGTGCTTGCCAGGCAGGTGCTGTGCCACTGAGCTAAATCCCCAAGTCCTGATTATTTCTTTACTAATTTTTTTTTTTTAGTTGAGTTGTCTATTTTTGACACAGGGTATTGAAATCCGCATTTTTTAAAATTTTTATTTTAAAGAGAGTACTACATGAGACACAAACAAAAAAATAGAACAGTAGCAGCATACCAGTATCATTAACATAAACAAATCAAAGCAAAAACATTCAAAGTGATACAGGGTCTCAAGACAAATTAATACAAATCAACAGTGGTTGTTATGTTGCATATCACTATCCTCAAATTCATTGCTCAGATTATCAGATGTAAGAATGAAAGATTGCTCAAAACATTAGAGAGATTAAGAAAATAATTCTTCAATAAAACGTTAGAGATATTAGAGAGTTTCACTAGACAAGATGATAGGAGTTCACCATTGTAATTCCATTGCATATTGTTACCTTCAAATCAGTTTCTCAGACCACCAGACACAAGCATGCACAGTCGATCAGAACATAAAAAATTGTGAGCATTAACTGTTCATTTCAATACACCATCAGACATCAGCAATACAGTTATGGCAGCTATTCATATATATATTTATGTTTTCCTTTCCTTCTTTCTTTTTTCTTCTTTCCCTCATCCCAGTCATTCCTTCCTTTGAGCAATTGCTTTCTCTTTCCTATCATCTATTGTACGTTTTGAGTTTTACCTAGTGTTTCAGGTTCCTACACGTA